TTCCCCTAAACAAGTTTGTATTTTCATAAACGACATTCTATGTCAAACATTATGTACTCTTTCGCAGATGACAGCAATATCTGCGATTCTTATTCATTCAATTACCCGTATACTTAGCCCTTTGGAGATTGGGGGATTAAACACAACATGGATGAATCACTCTGGATAATAATTTCTGATTGGACTCATCTTAAGGCTTATTTGCGCATACACCGTAATCGGTGCCGGAAACCCATAATTTTCTGAGCCTCAAACTAAGGAGTGCTGGACTAAACACATTTATGAATTTATATACGACCGAAAATGTAATACTCTCATGTATGGGTCGGAGCTTCGAAATTAATTTTGGAGTGAATCTATTGCGTACAGCAGAGGGCAAAGGTCGCTAGCATGGGATACAGTTTTACCGCTATTACATTGGATTTTGTTTCTCTGAAATTAGGGAACTTGTTCCCGATGCCATGAGGTTTAGGGTGAAATACACTTTTCCTAATCTACCTATTTCTTAGTATTGCGCTTCACGGTGCGCCAGGATAACTTAGCACTAATCAAATTTTTAAGTACAAAGGACATTAGACATAAGGGTCGCTAAGACTTTGGGGGTCGAGTAAATACTACTCTGTGTCCTGCCGTCTAAGCATTTCAAGGATGCAGCAAATATCGTTGATCGATTAGTTGAAACAATTACGACCGTAAAATTGACTTCCGATGCTTCAGCCTTATATGGTGCAATAACTCTTTAAAGTTATTATTAGGGAGAGATATTTTTAAGACCCTTTCACCAACACAAAAATTGTTATCTCCACACAATACACTCGAAATTTATTTCATTTTAGCATTTAATCATTTCTTTTTTTTTTTAATTCAAAATTTTGCAATATTATTTCTATACAATGAACAGAAGAACTCAAAAAATTAATTGTGTAGCCTTACAATGTAACAAAACAAACTATTTTTATAAAATTATGCTTGGATGAACATATTATTTTTAAATTTTTAATATTTTTTTAAGATAAGTTAAATGGAAGTGAGTTCTTTTTATAAAATTAGTTTGTTTTTATATTGTTGTAAAGCTTAATAAATATTATAATAAAAAAGTAAACAAACAAACAAAATAAATGTATAATGTATTTACATATGTCTAATGTAGACAATATGACAAACAAAATAAATATAAAATGCAATTATATAAAAATTATATGAAAAAGATAAATAAACAGTAAATAAAAAACAGAAATATATTTTAAACTGGTATGAAATTGAAGTTTTATTTTTGAACAATTCTGAGCATAGAAATTGAAACAAATATTTTCAATAAATTTTTTTACGATCAAGATTTTGAAGACATAGAATTTTGCCTAAAATAACATTTGATAGAAAATATTTTATAAAAGAAAATCTTGAATAAAAATTTCCAAAATTAAAATTTTCTAAAATTTTTTTATAAAAAAAAAAAATTTAACGAAACTTTTCTTAAAAGAAACGCTTTATCGAAAGTTTTCTATAAAAGAACATTTTTAACGAAAGTTTTCTATGAACGAACATTTTTTACGAAAAATTTCTATAAATGAAAATTTTTATCAAAAATTTTCTATAAAAGAAAATTTTTTATTTTCTATAAAAGAAAATTTTTATCGAAAAGTTTCTATAAAAGAAAATGTTTATCGAAAAGTTTCTATAAAAAAAATTTTTAACGAAAGTTTTCTATGAACGAACATTTCTTTCGAAAAATTTCTATAAACGAAAATTTTTATCAAAAATTTTCTATAAAAGAAAATTTTTTATTTTCTATAAAAGAACATTTTTATCGAAAAGTTTCTATAAAAGAAAATGTTTATCGAAAAGTTTCTATAAAAGAAAATTTTTAACGAAAGTTTTCTATGAACTAACATTTTTATCGAAAAATTTCTATAAACGAAAATTTTTATCAAAAATTTTCTATAAACGAAAATTTTTATCAAAAATTTTCTATAAACGAAAATTTTTATCAAAAATTTTCTATAAACGAAAATTTTTATCAAAAATTTTCTATAAACGAAAATTTTTATCAAAAATTTTCTATAAACGAAAATTTTTATCAAAATTTTCTATAAAAGAAAATTTTTATCGAAAAGTTTCTATAAAAGAAAATTTTTATCGAAAAGTTTCTATAAAAGAAAATTTTTATCGAAAAGTTTCTATAAAAGAAAATTTTTATCGAAAAGTTTCTATAAAAGAAAATTTTTATCGAAAAGTTTCTATAAAAGAAAATTTTTATCGAAAAGTTTCTATAAAAGAAAATTTTTATCAAAAAGTTTCTATAAAAGAAAATTTTTATCGAAAAGTTTCTATAAAAGAAATTTTTTATCGAAAAGTTTCTATAAAAGAAAATTTTTATCAAAAATTTTCTATAAAAGAAAATTTTTATCAAAAATTTTCTATAAAAGAAAATTTTTATCAAAAATTTTCTATAAAAGAAAATTTTTATCAAAATTTTCTATAAAAGAAAATTTTTATCAAAAATTTTCTATAAAAGAAAATTTTTATCAAAAATCAAAAATTTTCTATAAAAGAAAATTTTTATCAAAAATCAAAAATTTTCTATAAAAGAAAATTTTTATCAAAAATCAAAAATTTTCTATAAAAGAAAATTTTTATCAAAAATCAAAAATTTTCTATAAAAGAAAATTTTTATCAAAAATCAAAAATTTTCTATAAAAGAAAATTTTTATCAAAACTCAAAAATTTTCTATAAAAGAAAATTTTTATCAAAAATCAAAAATTTTCTATAAAAGAAAATTTTTATCAAAAATCAAAAATTTTCTATAAAAGAAAATTTTTATCAAAAATCAAAAATTTTCTATAAAAGAAAATTTTTATCAAAAATCAAAAATTTTCTATAAAAGAAAATTTTTATCAAAAATCAAAAATTTTCTATAAAAGAAAATTTTTATCGAAAATTTTCTATAAAAGAAAATTTTTATCGAAAATTTTCTATAAAAGAAAATTTTTATGGAAAATTTTCTATAAAAGAAAATTTTTATCGAAAATTTTCTATAAAAGAAAATTTTTATCGAAAATTTTCTATAAAAGAAAATTTTTATCGAAAATTTTCTATAAAGGAAAATTTTTATCGAAAATTTTCTATAAAAGAAAATTTTTATCGAAAAAGAAAATTTTTATCGAAAATTTTTATCGAAAATTTATATCGAAAAAGAAAATTTTTATGGAAAATTTTTATCGAAAAAGAAAATTTTTATCAAAAATTTTTATCGAAAAAGAAAATTTTTATCAAAAATTTTTATCGAAAATTTTTATCGAAAAATAAAATTTTTATCGAAAATTTTCTATAAAAGAAAATTTTTATCGAAAATTTTCTATAAAAGAAAATGTTTATCGAAAATTTTCTATAAAAGAAAATGTTTATCGAAAAATTTCTATAAAAGAAAATGTTTATCGAAAATTTTCTATAAAAGAAAATGTTTATCGAAAATTTTCTATAAAAGAAAATGTTTATCGAAAATTTTCTATAAAAGAAAATGTTTATCAAAAATTTTCTATAAAAGAAAATGTTTATCGAAAATTTTCTATAAAATAAATCGAAAATTTTCTATAAAACATAATTTTTATCGAAAATTTTCTATAAAACATAATTTTTATCGAAAATTTTCTATAAAACATAATTTTTATCGAAAATTTTCTATAAAAGAAAATGTTTATCGAAAATTTTCTATAAATGAAAATGTTTATCGAAAATTTTCTATAAAAGAAAATGTTTATCGAAAATTTTCTATAAAAGAAAATGTTTATCGAAAATTTTCTATAAAAGAAAATTTTTATCGAAGATTTTCTATAAAAGAAAATTTTTATCGAAGATTTTCTATAAAAGAAAATTTTTATCGAAGATTTTCTATAAAAGAAAATTTTTATCGAAGATTTTCTATAAAAGAAAATTTTTATCGAAGATTTTATATAAAAGAAAATTTTTATCGAAGATTTTATATAAAAGAAAATTTTTATCGAAGATTTTCTATAAAAGAAAATTTTTATCGAAGATTTTCTATAAAAGAAAATTTTTATCGAAGATTTTCTATAAAAGAAAATTTTTATCGAAGATTTTCTATAAAAGAAAATTTTTATCGAAAATTTTCTATAAAAGATAATTTTTATCGAAAATTTTCTATAAAAGAAAATTTTTATCAAAAAGTTTCTATAAAGGAAAATTTTTATCGAAAAGTTTCTATAAAAGAAAATTTTTATCGAAAAGTTTCTATAAAAGAAAATTTTTATCGAAAATTTTCTATAAAAGAAAATTTTCTGAACATTTCTTATATACGAATATGAATATTCAAATTTAAATAAAAAAATCCGTTACTAACCTTAATAATGATGGCAGCACTGTCTTCTGCAAGTCGCAATTTGCTTACATCTGGCAACATCAAAAAATCAACAGAACGTCCTACAGCTTCCTACACACAACCATACATACACACATACTCTAATATTAAAATTAACAAAATTGCACCAAAATAACTAATTTTTTCACAAAAATAACTTCATTTTTAGCAAATGCCGCAATATTTTAAACATATCTCATTATTTTACTTTATTCTTGTAACAGAATTTAGTGGGACCAACTAGCAGCCCACTAAGTTGCTGCTAAAGCTTCTTATTAAACAATTCCATTTATTTCAAGTGGCTTCACAAATAATCACTTTATTTCATATTTATTCAAATATATTTTACATTTTTAACACAAAAACACTAATTAAATATTGCTATTAACAATAATTTTCGATTAATTTAACTTTTTCTTTTCATTTAAACTTTTTGTGACGTTTCTGTAACAACTCCCGCTATAAACTGTTTTGTTTTTATTTTTTCGCCAGGCTGCCATATTGAAATCTCTCAAAATATATGAAAAAAGAACCGTTAGACTAAAAAATTCTAGTTGGCAACTCGAAAACATTCATTATAAACTAATAACTTTTCACAAATACCACTCTGTGGACACACGTAAACAAAACTGTTTTTGACATTTCAAGCGCACACACACACAAAATAACATTAAAAAGAACAACAACAATTATAATTGGTCATATTATTTTTCATACGTAGTGCAGAAATTTTGTGAAATTTTCTTATTAGCAGCTGAGAAAAAACAGGAATTTAATTATATTTATAATAAATATTTAAACTTTTGTAAACAACGCAGTAAATGTGAAAAGCAGCTTGGCAATGCCCATGATACTATTGAGTAAATCTGATGAAGAATATTTGCAAAAATGTGCCACACAAATGAACTTTGCCTATGGCATCATTATTGGCCAAGTAAGTTGTAGGAGAAGAGTCAGATAGCAATATCCGTAACAATTAGATATAGATTGCTACTTTGACAATAACATCCCGTTTTGCTAACGTTTTTGGATTTTTTGTTTTATTTTACTAGAAAGCTGAACCGGGCAAATATGTGATTGTTCATTTGGCCAAAAATGGTGAAGAGGAAATTGATTTTCCCGTCCTTAACCAGGAAGAAGGCGCCGCTTCTCATGGTCCACAAAAAGTGGAAGATATTGATTTGCAAGCCTTATCGAATCAATGGTTAAGTGCCCATAAAATGATTCCTGGTTCATTTAATATATTGGGTGAGTGATTGCAGTGTAAAGGAATTTACTTTTGATTATTAATTTTGTTTGTTTCTTTAGGTATTTTTGTTACTGGCATACGTAAGGATCATATTGATGAACAATCTGAAGAATTTAAAACTGCCAAAAGACTATTTTATGATATGCACAAGTGAGTAGAAAAATCATTAAATAAATACGATCTGATTCGACTGCAGTCAGGAGTCGAGTAGACTAGTAGACAGACTAGAATATAGAATAGACTAGAACAGAATAGACTAGACAGACTATAGACGGGACTATAGACTAGACTAAAGACGAGAATATAGACTATACTAAAGACTACACTATAGACTAGTCAATAGACGGAACTATAGACTAGACGAGACTATAGACGTGACTATAAACTTTACTATACACTAGACTATAGTCTAGACTATAGACTAGACTATAGACTAGACTATAGTCTAGACTATAGACTAGACTATAAACTAAATTATAGACTAGACTATAGACTAGATTATAGACTAGACTATAGACTAGACTATAGACTAGACAAGAGACTATACAATAGGCTAAACTATAGACTGGATTATAGACTTGACTATCGACTATGTTATAAACTATACTAGACTATAGACCAGACTATGGTCCAGACTTAGTACATTACTTTATTTTTATGTATTTAATATATATTATTATTTTTTTCCTTTATTTACAGTTTACTTAATCAATCCCATCAATTTAAAAGTACTGAACATGAAAATACTGAATACTTATATTTGGCCTATTCCAGTGCCTCGAAAAAAGCCATCTGTAAAATGTACAACTATGTTACAAAGTAAGTATTAAAAAATCTTTACATTTTCACTACTGCAATTATTAGTTTCAAAAGCATTTTTTGTTGCCAAAAAGAATACTTAATTTAATTTTCATTTCATTTACTTAACACCTATTACATTTGCTAATCTTTCTCCTACACCTGGCACTTTATGATTTTGCTGTTGAACTTACAAATCTTGTGTTTAAGTAAAATGTTTCTTAACAAATTGGGCAGACTTTTTCTATAGTTAAAAATGCAATAACTAAAGGCTTTAAAGTGTTTAAGTTTTGGTTATTTTCTTATATTTGAAGGCATGTTTTTTTTATAATTTCAATTTCAATGTCTATTTTTTTTTTTTTAATTTAGCATAGTTTTTTTATACTTGAAATTATGTAAAGTTAAAATAATTACTAATGTTTAAATATTTTCTATTTATCAATTTATTAAATGAAAACAACAAATTATATATAAAACAGGGAATGCAAGAAAACGTATTTTACAGCACATATTAAATGTGTTTTATGGTAAATAATCTTTTAAAAATTGCTAATTTTCTAAAAATTTCGAGAATTTTCTTAAGTTTCAATTTGTGTTATATTGTTTCATTAAGATTTTATTTTGGTGGGTAAATCAATGCTTATTTTTTGTAAAATGGAATTTTGTTTGCAAATAAGGACTTAAGTTTCTCTATGTTTTTAAATTGGTTTTTAATGCAAATTAAATTTTATTTATGAGGATTTTATTAAGTTGACCACAAGTTTTATTGAGTGCTTTAACAATATCATTTGAGTTTGTAAAACGGGTTTAAGATGTTTTAAGTATGATTTCATTCATTTTTTTTTTGGTAAAAAATTCATAAGGAAACTAATGGCGAAAAATTTCGATTAAATATTGGACAAAATCATTAATCAAAATGTTATTTTAGACTAGACTATAGACTAGTCTAAAGATTAGACTATAGACTAGACTATAGACTAGTCTAAAGATTAGACTATAGACTAGACTATAGACTAGACTATAGACTAGACTATAGACTAGACTATAGACTAGACTATAGACTAGACTATAGACTAGACTATAGACTAGACTATAGACTAGACTATAGACTAGACCTATAGACTAGACTATAGGACTAGACTATAGACTAGACTATAGACGAGAATTAGACCTAGACTATAGACTAGACTATAGACTAGACTATAGACCTAGACTAGACTAGACTATAGACGAACTATCGACTAGACCTATAGACTAGACTATAGACTAGACTATAGACTAGACTATAGACTTAGACGATAGACTAGACTATAGACTAGACTATAGACTAGACTATAGACTAGACTATAGACTAGACTATAGACCTAAGCTATAGACTAGACTATAGACTATAGACTATAGACTATACTATACTATAGACTAGACTATAGCTAGAACTATAGACTAGACTATAGTCTAGACTATAGACTAGACTATGACGAACTATAGACTAGACTATAGACTAGACTATAGACTAGACTATAGACTAGACTATAGACTAGACTATAGACTAGACTATAGACTAGACTATAGACTAGACTATAGACTAGACTATAGACTAGACTATAGACTAGACTATAGACTAGACTATAGACTAGACTATAGACTAGACTATAGACTAGACTATAGACTAGACTATAGACTAGACTATAGACTAGACTATAGACTAGACTATAGACTAGACTATAGACTAGACTATAGACTAGACTATAGACTAGACTATAGACTAGACTATAGACTAGACTATAGACTAGACTATAGACTAGACTATAGACTAGACTATAGACTAGACTATAGACTAGACTATAGACTAGACTATAGACTAGACTATAGACTAGACTATAGACTAGACTATAGACTAGACTATAGACTAGACTAGACTAGACTATAGACTAGACTATAGACTAGACTATAGACTAGACTATAGACTAGACTATAGACTAGTAGACTAGACTATAGACTAGACTATAGACTAGACTATAGACTAGACTATAGACTAGACTATAGACTAGACTATAGACTAGACTATAGACTAGACTATAGACTAGACTATAGACTAGACTAGACTATAGACTAGACTATAGACTGTAGTCTATACTACAGGCTGAACTGCAAACTAGATTTTAGATTAAACTAGACTATGTTCTATACCATAGACTAGACTACAGATTGGACCTTAGACTAGACTGGAAACTATTCTATAAGCTAGACTATGGACTAGATAATATATTAGATTACATATAAAACTTTAGACTAGAATTCAGACTTGACTGTAGAATAGACTGCAGACTAGACTATAAATTAGTCTAGACAATATTCTAGACTAGACTATAGATTGGATTTTAGACTAGACTAGAACCTAGTCTATATGCTAGACTATGAATTATAGTTGTTTTTTCGGTAAAATTTTCATGGAATAGAGAATTTTACATTTGAGAAAAAATTTCTATTAAAATTTGCCATACGTTTTTTCTTAAAGAATCGTATTACATATTAGAAAAGAAAAACGCCATAACTCTGTGGGTATCAATCAATCATCATCATCGTTATCATCTTTTTTATAATTTTCTTAATTTTAAAGTATAAAATGCGACACCTCTCTAACACTACATCAACTCACTGTTTTAAGTTCGAAAGCTTTAACTAACAAAAAATTAAAATCTAAGTTTATAACACTTAATTCTGAAATAAAAACAAAAACAAAACTTCTATCCAACCCTTAACCCAAACCCCTTCAACAGTGGTGGCTCCTTTTCACCCATGGATTGTCGTTTTGTGGAGAAACCCTTCGAATGGCATACCTTTGAAAGCAGTTATGAACTAGATGATGTATTTCCCATCTTAGATTCGGACTCGGAAAAAATTAATATAGAAACACAATTTCAGGCAACAATTGAAACAGTAAGAAAACACTTGGCAGCCAGTGAAATTTTTATACAAAATGAAAATGTAGAAAATAATCAAATACTGGAAACGTATGTCAAGCAAAAACGTCAAGGAGGTGGAAAATTCCAAACAAATGAAGATGGTTTTAAAGCCACCATCTATTTACCTGTCAAGTGCCAAGCCAATAAATCGGTTAATCCTGTACAAGTGAAAGAATTCAATGGTACCATACGTCTGCATGGAGTTATTTCTTCTCGTGTGTGGTGTAATCCCAAGAATACACTGGGAGATGTTAAACGTTTTATTCGTGAAGATATTCTACGTTCTCTTATGGCCCGCATACAAGTGTATTGCGATGGTTTGACGGAACCTAATATCAGTAGTGATGCCATTTTTATCTCTGAACCTCCTCGAAGAGTTTACTTTAATGTTAATACTTCTACTACGGGCTCATCAGGCGCCAACATACAATTCTCCGAGTATATATTCCGTGGTGAAACTCCCACAGTAGCAGCAGCTCAAGCAAAACAAATACTCGATTTAGATATTGCCACCTCTAGCATAGTGGGTGATGTCGAAAGTCTGCCCGAGGATGACTCGTTTAGTGACACTTCTTTCGAATTGCAAACGGCCAAACAGCAACTCTTAAAACTGGCGGAGGAATCGGCCAGTAAAAGAGATCTTACACGCACCATGTATATGTTGGGCATATCGGTGGCTCTTTTGGTACTCATCATTTCCATAGTCATGCACTACTTCTTCAAATGAGTGTTTAGGATCTGCTGCAATTGTTGTTGCTCTAACAAACATCACAACATGTTTTTAGGACTTTTTTGGATTTTAGTTGTTGGTAAAAATGAATGTACGTTTTCGTTTTATTATAAATATGTATTTAAATCGTTTTTTATTGCAATTTTTTATACTTAATAATTGTACTTCCTTTTTATGTTTGTTTTTGTATTTTGTTTTCCGATTATTATAATTTTTTTTTGTATTTTTGTATTGTATATTTAATTTATCTATATATTAAACATGTATTTAAAGAAAAAACGATTGTTTAAACCGACAAGGAAAAAAACGAAACAAAAAATGTTTAAGCCATTATATTGGTTTGGCAAATAGTTAAACAAAATATTTAGAAACTAGTTAAATAAAATGAGAATGAAAAAAAGAAAAACACAAAAAGAACGATTTCTTAGAAATTTTAAAAGAAATTGAAAATGTTATTTATTTATTTGTGTGGAAAGAAATTTAGACCATAGTACAGAGTATAAACTAGACTATAGTCTAGTATATAAACTAGACTAATGTCCAGTTTATAAAAACGATTATTGTCCAGACTTTAGAGAAAAAAAATTATCTGGGCCATAGACGAGGTTATAAACTAGACTATGTTCTTGGCTGCAGACTGTGGACAATTCTAGTTTATGTATAGAATATAATCCTGAATAGGAACTAGATTATAGACCGGACTATAGACCAGACTATAGTCCAGAATATAGACCAGGCTATATACCAGACTGTAGTTCAGGCAATAGTCCAGACCATACTATAGTCTAGAATATAGAGTAGCTATTGTGCAGTCTATAGAATTGACAGATCATAGAATTGACTAAAGTCCAGACTATAGAGTTGACTATGGTCCAGACTATAGACTTGACAATTGTCCCGATTATAGACTTGACTATTTTCCCGACTATAAAATAGACTATAGTCTAGAGTATACACTACACTATGCTTTAGACTATAGTCTAGACTTTAGTCCAAACTATATACTAGATTATAGTCTAGACTATATACTCGACTATAGTGCAGATTATAGACTAAATTATATTCCAGACTATAGATTGACTTATAGTCCAGTCTAAGGACTAGATTATTGTCGTGGCATAAACTATGCTTTAGGCTATAGACTAGACTATAGTCCCGACTATAGACTATAGTACTGACTATAGTCTAGACTATAGTCGGGACTATATAACTCAGACTATAGGACAGATTATAGTTCAAACTATATACTAGATTATAGTCCGGATTATATACTAGATCATAGTGCAGACTATAGACTAGATAATAGTTCAGACTATACATTAGATTATAGTCCAGACTAGAGACTAGCGTAATGGACCTGACTATAAACTAGCGTAAAGGACCTGACTATAAACTAGACTATAGTCCAGATTATAGACTATATTATAGTCCAGAATATAGCCAATAGTCCAGACTATAGATTATAGATAATATATAATAGATTATAGTCCAGGAGTAGACTATTCTTTAGACTTTAGACTAGATTATATTCCAGACTATAGTCTAGTTTATAGGCCAGATTATAGACTAGATTATAGTCCCGACTATACTTAGACTAGACCATAGTCCAGACTGTGGACTAGACCATAGTCCAGACTGTGGACTAGACCATAGTCCAGACTGTGGACTAGACTATAGTCCTGACTATAGACCAGACTATAGTCCCGACTATAGACTAGACTATAGTCCTGACTATAGACTAGACTATAGTCCCGACTATAGACTAGACTATAGTCCTGACTATAGACTAGACTATAGTCCCGACTATAGACTAGACTATAGTCCCGACTATAGACTAGACTATAGTCCCGACTATAGACTAGATTATAGTCCCGACTATAGACTAGACTATAGTCCCGACTATAGACTAGACTATAGTCCCGACTATAGACTAGACTATAGTCCCGACTATAGACTAGACTATAGTCCCGACTATAGACTAGACTATAGTCCCGACTATAGACTAGACTATAGTCCCGACTATAGACTAGACTATAGTCCCGACTATAGACTAGACTATAGTCCCGACTATAGACTAGACTATATTCCCGACTATAGACTGGACTATAGTCCCGACTATAGACTAGACTATAGTCCCGACTATAGACTAGACTATAGTCCCGACTATAGACTAGACTATAGTCCCGACTATAGACTAGACTATAGTCCCGACTATAGACTAGACTATAGTCCCGACTATAGACTAGACTATAGTCCCGACTATAGAATAGACTAGACTATAGTCCCGACTATAGACTAGACTATAGTCCCGACTATAGACTAGACTATAGTCCCGACTATAGACTAGACTATAGTCCCGACTATAGACTAGACTATAGTCCCGACTATAGACTAGACTATAGTCCCGACTATAGACTAGACTATAGTCCCGACTATAGACTAGACTATAGTCCCGACTATAGACTAGACTATAGTCCCGACTATAGACTAGACTATAGTCCCGACTATAGACTAGACTATAGTCCCGACTATAGACTAGACTATAGTCCAGACTAGGCTAAACTATAGTGCACTATAGACTGTAGTCTGGAATATAGACTAGATTATAGTCCATCCTATAGACTAGGTTAAAGGCCAGACTATAGACTAGTTTATAGGCCAGACTTTAGACTAGTTTATAGGCCAGACTTTAGACTAGTTTATAGGCCAGACCATAGACTACTTTATAGGCCAGACTATAGACTAGTTTATAGGCCAGACTTTAGACTAGTTTATAGGCCAGACCATAGACTACTTTATAGGCCAGACTATAGACTAGTTTATAGGCCAGACTATGGACTAGTTTATAGGCCAGACTATAGACTAGTTTATAGGTCAGACCATAGACTACTTTATAGTCCAGACTATAGACTGGATTAGAGTCCAGACTATAGACTAGAATGTAGTCCATACTTTAGACTTGACTATAATCCAGATCATAGTCTTAACTATAGGCTAGACTAGACTAACTAGACTATAGTCTAAAGCATATTATAGTGTATAATTTACACTATAGTCGGGATTATAGTTTATTTTACATTCTGGTCTATAGTCTAGACTATAGACTGATTTATAGTCCAGACAATAGACTAGTCTATATGCAAGACTTTAGACTGGGCTGGAATATAGTTTAGTATATCCATATTCTACACTACACTATGGACTAGAATATAGTCCAGACGATGGATTACGCTATTAGACCAGATTATGGATTAGACTATTAGTCTATCTAATTTTAAACACTGTGTTAGTTATAGAATTAAAGCGTAAAACTTCCGTCATTTACCTGACAAAACTAAATGTTGCAAATGCCTTTAAATTATTATACCTCTAACAAAACTAGCATTTGAAAAAATAAACGTTTCTCTATTTCTTCACTAAATTACCCATTTTTTAAGCAAAATAATCTTTTTCATATAAAATATGTAATCTTTTTATAGAAAAACATTTTTATATTAAAGCCACTTAGTGAAACACAACCAAAAAGTCAGAAAAAAAACAAATTTAAAGAGGATTGTTTCTAAAATTATAACCCACAAGTGCTTAATTGCTTTTGGCTCGTCTCTTTAAAACGCTGAATGCATTTTCTCTTGACGCTCTTCAACTCTGGGGAATCATAAATAAAGTGACAGTAAATAAATAAATAGTACAAGTAAAAAGGCAAAAGAGGTAATTGTTTTTAACATCTGAAACATAAACTGTGACCCCATCATCAAAGTCATTATGAGTTTTTTTTAATTAAATTATGTGTTTTGGGGTATTTTTTGCGTTGTATAACAATTTTATTCTTAGATCTTGGCGTCAAATGGTTGGACGACACGACAATGCAACACAACTCTATAAATTATGGAAAAAAACAAGAAGAAACAAGCGATCATATATAGTAAAGAGTTCTAGCTCCCCCTATTAGAGAGCATGAGTAGTAGTAGTAAAAAAAAGTAAATTTAAATCATTTTTATACATTTGGGGGAAAATACCCCTTTTTTTCCTTTATGATCTAAAATTTCATGAGAGCATTGGTCTGAACATACATAAGTGTGTGGCAAGCAGGTGTGCTTTTGCTATGAATTATATTTTCTTTCTTTCTATCGAGAGCACACGTTCTTCTGTTCACTTTTTGGGTGATCATTTGAAAATGAAAGGAAAACAAAATTTAAAACTTTTTATTATCATCAGTTTTTTTTTTGTACTCAACTCTTAAATAGTTTCCTGATGTTGTTAAGTGTTTAATGATCTTGAAAATATAATTCTCTGTTCTAAATAACAAAAAAGGAAATAACAACATGAAAAACAGTGTTATAAATATAAATTATTTTTTATTTTTGGAACATTCACATCGTGCTCTCATTCATTGTTTTGATTTATGAAATATTCATAATTCTTAGAAACTTAAATAATTCTTTCAATTTATGTTTTTTCCCCTGCAACTGTATACTAAACACTCCGCCTTGTGTTTTGATAAATAAGTTTTCATAATATTATGATTTTAACTAAATATATTTTTATGTTTTTATTCATAATTCTTAATATTATACTCTATAAAAGTGGGGAAGTATACGTTAAGTTAGTGGTGATGTTTGTAACATCAAAAAAAAACCTATATAGCCGCTGACCCTACTTGATTTTTCGATTCAATTACCACATAGTTGTACCTCCATAGGACTTTAAGGACAATTTTGAAAATTAAGGGAATTTTGATAAAAAAAACAGTGAAAAACATGAATTTCTGACGAAAATGCGAATTTCTAGTGAAAATCAAATATTTGGTGAAAATGCGATTTTCCGATGAAAATTTGATCGTCTGATGAAAATATGATTTTCTGGTGAAAATACTATTTTCTGGTGAAAATACTATTTTCTGGTGAAAATACTATTTTCTGGTGAAAATACTATTTTCTGGTGAAAATACTATTTTCTAGTGAAAATACGATTTTCTGGTGAAAATACGATTTTCTGGTGAAAATACGATTTACTGGTGAAAATACGATTTACTGGTGAAAATACGATTTTCTGTTGAAAATACGATTTTGTGGTGAAAATACGATTTTGTGGTGAAAATATGATTTTCTGAGGAAAATACGATATTCTGGTGAGAATATGATTTCCTTGCAAAAATATGATTTTGTGGTGAAAATATGATTTTCTGGTGAAAATACGATTTTCTGGTGAAAATATAATTTTCTGGTGAAAATACGATTTTCGTGTGAAAATATGATTTTCTGCTGAAAATATGATTTTCTGAGGAAAATATGATTTTCTGGTGAATATATGAATTTCTGGTGAGAATATGAATAGACTTATATATAATACTATAGACTAGACTATAGACTAGACTATAGACTAGACTATAGACTAGACTAT